GCCTGCAGCTCCACTCGCACCCGAGCGCAGGGGGCCAAGGCCCCTTGAACTCACTTTTTAGTCCAGGCTTGCCTCAAACTCGTGATCTTCCTGTCTCAGCTTCCCGAGGACTGGGATTACAGGAATACGCCACCTTGACTGTAATGCTTGGGTATTTTCTTTTTTCTTTCTTTGTTTCTTTTTTTTCTGGTGGAACGGGGGATTGAACTCAGGCCCTTGTGCTTACCAGGCAAGTACTTATTCTACTGAGCCATCTCCTCGGCCCCGCGTATTTTCTTCAGGAATTTTTTTCCCTTGAACTTGAAGGCTCCATAATTCCATTTTTAAAGATCTTTTATTTGTTATAGTTTCTTTATTTCTTCTCAAAATCTTACTAGTTTTCTATTGTGCTGTAGTTTCCTTTTACTTTTTTGGGGACATAAATATTTACTATTAGGGTTTCTTTGTTTAATGACATTTTACAAATTATTTGTCCCATAGCTTTTGCTCTAACATCTGTTTTCTCATCATTATTCTGTGTTCTCTTTAGTTAAGCATGATCTTTGGTTGATTTTTTTTCTTTTCTTTTTTTGGCGGAACCGGGGATTGAACTCGGGCTCCTACACTTGCCAGGCAAGTGCTTGTTCTACTGAGCCATCTCCCTGGCCCTGTTAAGCATGATCTTAATCCATCTTGAGTGAATTAAAACTCAGTTGTATGTTAAAGAGTTAGAGTATAAAAAGGAAAGCAGTAAAATGCAAAGACGTAGGATAATGTGGGTTAGACTGTAAACTAACTGGAAACCTGCCCAAGGTGCTATAAAAAAGACTTTATTACATAACAATTGTAAATTGGTCTGTGTGGTAGGAGATCCCATGAACAAAATCAAAAGCTAAACTATAGATGTGAAGAAAATGTCAGTCACGCAGAAGAAAGATTTGATGCATGAAGAATGCTCACAGGGCTGGAGAGATGGCTCAGTGGTCTAAAGCACCTACTTGAAACAAGCTTGGCAAAGCACAGGGACCGCGGTTCAATCCTCCAGCACCACATGCCAGCCAGCCTCGCCCCCTGGTGGGCTGAGCTGGCCACACACACACACACACACACACACACACACAAAATGTAATAAATAAAAATAAATATTTAAAAAAAAAAGAATGCTCACAAATTGATTAGGAAAAGAAAAGTTCTAGTAAAAGAGAATGAGTAAAGGAAATAAACATACACTTTGCAGATTAGGTCCTGCAGTTGACTGCTTTTCGCTTTATTTTTTGGTGGCTCTGAAAATTGAACCAGGGTCTTCACACTGAGCTGCATTCCTGCCATTTTTAAAAGTTTTTATTTTGGGGAGAGAGGTCTTGTTAAGTTGACCAGGCTGGGGTGCAGTTCTCCTGCGGTGGCCTCCCAGAGTTCTAGGATTGTAGTGTACACTACCATATCTGGTTTTAATTTTTTTTTTTACCTTTGTAAGAAATGGGGGTCTTGCTGTTTTATGCACTCTGGCCTCTAAGCAACATAGCAAAACCCATCCAAAAGGGAGGTAAAAAAAGTAAAGCAAGGCATGGTACTATATCCCTGTAATCTCAGATACTTGGGAGGCTGACGTAGCAAGATTATGCAAGTACTGAGGTCAGTCTGGGCAACTTGGTGAAACTTTGTCTCCAAAGAAAAAATAAAAGGGGCTCAGATGCAGTTTAATGGGAGAGTGCCTCTGGTTTAGTCCTTAGTATTGCACCCCTCCCATCCCCCTCCAAAATTAAAAATGGTCTTCCTTCAGACTTTTTTTTTTTTTTTTTTTTGCGGAACCGGGGATTGAACTCAGGCCCTTGCACTTGCCAGGCATGCGCTTATTTTACTGAGCTACCTCCCCAGCCCCAAAATTCTAAGACTTTATTTTTAAATTTTATTTGTTTATTTTTAAAATGGTCTTCCTTCAGAGGAAGTCATGATTTCATGGAATGCATGTACCAAGTCACTATCAATGAATTTGGTGTTCTGTCTGTAGATTAGATGCTGGTAAAGTGACATCTAGGTGAAAGAATTCTTTCTGTGCTCTGTATGGTCTCAGTTAACATTTTCTGCATAGCAGTTTCCCCTGCTTTAATTACACTAGGGCTGTGTGACACAAGCACAAAGACAGAGGGATCCACCTGGTGTGACCATCCAGGCACATGTATTTAGGTAAAATGGCCTTTTTGGCAGTTCAGAGCTCAGTATGGAATTTCATGTGGTGTGATGTGATTATTTTTTTTTCCATAATTTTATTGAGAAACAAATAGCAATAAGACAGTTTCAAATCAAATTGGTAGGACAGTTTCAATAATTAACACATTGCATACATTCTTCCTAGTGGTTAATTGCTGTACAAGATGCGGACATGATATCCTATTTACAAACACCATTAGAACAAATCACTCTATTCATTAAGAGAATGTAACTATATATCTATCCTAACCACTTTGAATACACAGATACAAAATGGACATTCATCTGTGTCCCCTTTTTTTGTTAAGTTCCGTTATTTGAATATTATAGGTGTGTAAACTCAGCAAAATATTCTAAGAGTCCAGTAGCCCATAATAGTATTGGGTGTTCTGGTGATTATTTTATCAAATAAATCAATTTCTTTACATGGAGGATAAAAGCAGTGTTTTAGAGAACGTTGTTTGCTAAAACATGAAACTCTGAGGATTTATGATTCCAGCTTCTGATTCTGAATGGGACGAATGTATATGCCTGATCTTTCTCCTTTTCTTTCATTTTTTTTTTGGTGGGACCGGGGATTGAACTCAGGCCCTTGCACTTGCCAGGGAAGCACATATTCCACTGAGCCATTTCCCCTGCCCCTCTTTCTCCGTTTCTCATTAGTCAAATATAGACAGTAGTAGTAGCTGGAGTAGGAATAGTTATTTCCTCAGAGGCTTATAAACCCTTAGATTCATTCTACTTTTGGGCACACAATTCTGCTAAAATGATCTTCCTTTCTTTTTTTAAAATGATCTTTACATATGATGGTTTTATTACTAATGTACACTACCCCCTTCTCCTTTTCCCCTTCCACCACAGCTTTTTGGTTCCTACTTCTTTGGCTACAGATGTCTTTGAAATGTCATTCTGTCTCACCTACAGGTTGCAGACCTGGGATGTGGTGATACTGAGCTCCTAAGGCTGCTAAAAATCTACCCATGCATCCAACTGCTTGTTGGAGTAGACATTGATGAAGAAAAATTACAATCTAATGGGTAATATGTAGTCCTATGGTTCATATGTGGTTCATCTCCCAAAGACCTGTCTGCTGAAGTGTGGCCCTTGGGGTGGTAAAGCCGTGGGAGGTAGTGCAAGTAGCAGATCATGAGGTGTTGGGGGCTGGGTTTGGAATGGCTTGAGGCCTGTCTTGGGGGAGTGGGTCTCGAGATTGGGTTGGTTCTGAGGGTGGGTTATAGGCTGTCCCAACATTTCCCCTTCTGCTGCAGACTGTTTTGAGAATGTTTTTCTTTTTCGAAGAGCAAATAGCTGAAAATCACTGATTCATGGTGAGGTGGAAAACCCAAAGTATTAAAAATGAGAACATCACATTTTTTCTCACTGCCTGGTAGCTTCCCACTATTAGAGGAAGCTGTCCTATGGCCTAGGTTAAGTTTACCAAGATGAAGATAACAAGCCGAGCCACATTTACAGTAGCATAGGCAGATGATGATTATCAAGGGGTCTGAGATCTGTAGCTTAGCAATATTAAATGTGTGTGTGCATGCATGCGTTGGGGTACTAGGGATAACCCAGCCTCAGACTTTCCAAATAGATTGTGTGTACAGTGTTTCTTAATTGTTTGCAGACATCATTTGTCTCCCTATTTGGGGGAGTTCGTAAAACCCCGGAGTCTGGATTTGACCGTTACCTTGTATCACGGCTCTGTTGTGGAGAGAGACTCTCGCCTGCGTGGATTTGACTTGATATCATGCATTGAGGTGTAAGTTTTCAACCATATTAACTGTTCATTCTGAAAAGTAGGAAAAGCTTAGCTTTGGTAATCTTAGTGTTTTAAATATTTGGGTCTTGATTATTATTTGCAATGCAAATTGCCTAACAGTTGAGAAAATCTTTTTATTCTCACTTAGTATTTTACTTGGAAATTCCAAATGTACAGCTAAGTTCCAAAAAATAAACAGTACCAAGAGCACCCACATACTGTTTGCCCAGGCTTTCCTGTCACTGTTTTCCTCCTCCTCTGTCATTGCTCCTGTGCATGCCCCTCCAGTTTTAATTAGTTTCTGAACTAATTAAAGTTAGGTTATAGACAGCGTGGATCTTTACCCTTCATAAAAAATTAAGTTTGTATTTGTAAGCTAAGGGCTTATGGAACTAGTTCTCCATACCTCAGGTTTTTTTTTTTTTTTTTTTTTTTTGTGGTACTGGGGATTGAACTCAAGACTTTGTGCTTGCCAGGCAAGCACTTATTCTACTGAGATATCTCCCGGGCCCTGTACCTCAGTTTTCATGTTTTTGTTTTTTTTTTTGGAACTGGGGATTGAACTTAGGCCCTTATACTTGCCAGGGAAGCACTTGTCAGGGAAGCACTTGTCAGGGAAGCACTTATTCCACTGAGCCATCTCCCCAGCCCCCATTTTTTTTTTATTTTTTTTAATTTTGGACTCCTGCTGGTTAAATTCAGGTTGAGCAACGTTGGAATACTGGCACCCACTGCAGAGGTATTTGAGTCCTATAGACCCTTTTAGGAAAGGGTCTATAGGGTGTTCAGGGTTGTTCAGGTCTCACTACTAGATTGGATTCATCCACCTGTTTACAGCCTCCCAAGTGCTGGGATTATAGGTGCGTACCACCATGCCCAGTCTCAGTCTGCCATCTCAGCACACCATGGGGGAAGAGCCGGCACTGCAGACCTGGGAGTCGAACCCCTGGCTCCTATGCCTCCTTGCAGACGCTTTAATCCTCAGAGCTATTTAGCTGGCCCTTTGAGTCTTCTTGGGTCACCCCAGGCAAGGGTGTACTGTCCCCCTGCTCCTCACTGATGTTGCCGCTCTTAGATTCAGCATCCTGAATGCTCAGTCCTCATTACAGTGGCGGAAAATGATTTTTTTTGTGATTCTCATTCTTCTACAATTACTAGATAGTGCTTGGCATTTTACTGTTTAGCAAGATCCCGCCTATATTCTCTATTAATGTGTGATTCCTGTATTTTTAATGGAACTATAATTCCATTATGGTGTGAGAGACACAGGGGATGTGACCTAGAAGGGCATCTCTCCTCAGCTCCTCCCTACGATTTTTCACTGATTTTACTCGTTTGTCCCAGGCTTTGCCAGTGGGGTCTCCACCTTACTTGGTTCCTGTGTCCGTGTGATATGTCTTGTTTGCAAACACTTATTTTTTGAAATAATGAGTTTAAGCCTCCTCTCGTGCCCTCCTTTTCCTGGTCCTGGGACTATGGGCATGTGTTACTGTGTCCGACTCTGTTCTTTTTTATTCCTGAATATTTCCATATTGTAAGAATGCAACATAATCTGTCTTAGTCACTTCCCCCTCACTGGGCATAATACCTGACACCCACAGCTTAAGGGAGAGAGGCTCATATCATGGTTTCAGTCCATGCTTGGTAGGCTCTGGGGCAGAAACAGAATTGTAGAGGGAGGTGGTGCAGGAAAAGATGCTCAGCCCATGGCGGCCAGGAAGCAAAGACAGAAGAGAAGAGCTGGGGTGAGCATGCATCGTTCCAGGTCATGCCCTGTTGCAGTTTGGATCAGAAACAATCCACCGACATCTCACGTGTTTATGAGGTGTTGGGATCATGGAGGCTCTGCGCTCACCATAGATCCATCCACGGTGAGTTCAGCAGCTGAGTGTGTGTTGGGAGGCAGGGCCTGGTCACTGGGGGTGTGACCAAGAAGGGCATCTCCCTCCTCCAGCTGCTCCCTTTCCTCCTCCTCCCAGGCTGCCATGACAGACTTTCCCTTTGCTGTGCTCCTCTGCCCTGCTGCATCTGCCTGGAGCCGTCAGACAAGGACTGTAACTTTAAGTTGTGGCTGCTGGATACGCTGTCTTTGCAGTGAGGTTGTGACTGAGACATGCCCCACCTCCAAGCAGGACCTCCCTGCTGACGGTGCATTCGTCTGATGAACTTATCACCAGATGAGTCTGCTGATGCCCCTAGCACCCCATGATTCAGTCACATGCCGTACACGAGAATTTTGGAGGGCATTTTAGCTCTAAGCCAAAATGCCCTGGTCCCCAGAGGAGTCATGTCCATCTCACTTTGCAGGAGTGCATTTAGTCCATCTCTTGAGTCACGAGCATTAACAGTCCTAACATTGCTGGACAATCCAAGCCAAATCCTCTCCGAGACTCCAGACAAACCCTTAGCTGTGAGCCCCTGTGAAAACCAAAAAGAAGCACAGTGGCGCAGGGCAAGCATTCCTATTCCAAAAGTGAGGAATGAAGGCTAGAAAGAATCAAACTGAAACAAGAGTGAAGCTCAGCAGGACAAATGATAAATTCTGTGCTCTGTGTACCCAAGGCAGCTTGTGGTGAGGTGTGATCTCCAAGTGGCTTGGGTAGCCCCCCTCCTGTGGAATGGCCAGTGGTAACCCTCATGGCCTTTTCCTTGGAGTGGCTCTGCATACTGCCTGCAGTGGTGGTGGAAGAGAGATGCTCATAGCACAGCAGTGGGAGCCCAGAGAGTGAGTCAAGGGAGGATCTGGGTGGGGACACAAAGCCTTCAGAGCCACACTCCAGTGCTCACCCCTTCCAACAAGGCACCACCTCTTAGCAAGTCAGTGTTAAGTCCTGTAATCCAGTCACCTTCCCCAAACCCTGCCTCAGAGTGCCTGAGGCTTTTGGGGGTATTTGCATATAAAACATGGCAGAGACCCGTTCCCAACTAAAACCTCCTGAGTCCAGATTTTACACTCTACTTTCCTATCAACATTTTTGTCTTCTGAGCTTTTACCAGACCCTTCCATAAAGCTCTGCCTCTAGTATTCTCTTGTTGGCATCTCTAAACCTTTCTAAATTCCTCCCACAAGCTAGTTCCCAAGGCTTCAGACCAAATGGTATGATGGCAGCAACAGCCTCTGCCAGTTGTAATAACTTTCCATTGCTGGATACAGTGGCCTATACTTGCACCTTGAAAGAAGAGAGGTTTATTGTGGCCCGAGGTTTCAGTGGCCGTGGTTGGCAGGCTCTGAGGCAGAAACAGGACAGCAAGGGGCCTGGAAGAAAGGAGTTCAACCAGTGGCAGTCGGGAAGCAGAGGCACAGGGAGGTGCTGGCACAAATATACACCCTTGTAGGTCACGTCTGGTTGGAGTGACCCATCTCCAATGGGTCCTACCTGCAACAGCACGCTCTGCTGCTGAACTCATTAATGGATAAATCAACCCCACAGTCCAGTCACCTTCCACACATATGAGTGTTTTGGGGAACATTTTAGTTCTAATCCATAATGATGTGTTTAACTAGTATCATATTACAGAGTACTTACAATGACTTGATTACTTCGCATGGCCTTGTTTACATGTTTTTGCATATATATCTGTGGTATAAACTCCTAGATAGACAATTGCTAGGTCAAAGGACATGGCATAGTTTTAATTTTGATAGCCCTTTTGGTTATGGTACAGGTTTGAGTTGGTAGAAGAATGCTCGGGTAGTGGTGGACAGAAAGTGGAACCTTGTTTCTCTTCATGGTCCTGAGCAGAGTGGCCCATGTTTCGCCATTGCATGGCTCCTTGAGGTCACTCAGAAACCAAATTCTACTGTTCTAACACTGTTCCTTGCAGTGTTATATTCATCTGTACAGTTGTGGCTGCTCTCAAACATTTTTTTTTAAAAGAAAAATAATTAAAAAAAAAAAGAAAAAAAATAATTTATAAATGGATGTTTTATAAAGCATGTCTTTTCATTTATTAGGAATACGTATTTGTATTTGTCTATGTAGACATTTCTGTTATGCGGTATATATGTGGCTCCCCAGGCAGGCCGAACGGTCATATGTACACACGTATTTGTACGAATCTGTTGTGTACGCTTTTATTTTTTTTCTCCAGTGCTAGAGATTAAGCCAGGGCCTCGCCTGTGGTTAAGTAGGCACACCACCACTGAACTAAGCCCACAGCCTCGTCTTTCTAATGCACAATAAAGCAGTCACCTTCCCTTTGGTCGTGTTATGCTGTAACTACAATTTTAGATACAGTATTTATACCAGTGATGCAAAGAAGCCATATGGGATGAAGATTTTGGGGGTTGCTAGAGTTGACAGCTTGAGACTGTTTGACTACTGAAACAGGTTACCAGTTTACTTTCAGTGCTGCTTTTTACTCACGTCAGGGTGTTGTGAGACACAGAGGCCCACAAGGATGGCAGGGGATTATCCTCCTGCTTCTTATTCAGCATAGCTGCCGCTTTGCTTGTAAGTTCATTTGAAGCTCAGGCCCTGTGAAGCAGTTGTGTCAAAGTCTTAAGTTTTTAGAACATACATGCTGACATAGGATGTCAGCGGTGTCTTGTCAGACTCATTTTCGCTAATATTCAGAGCTGCAAATTTACTAAACTTGGAGGAACAGTGTGAAAAACTCCCTAGATTCACCAACTGTTAGTCTTTCACCCCATTTACCTCAGCATTTTTTTTTTTTTTTTTTTTTTTTTTTGGTACAGGGTTTCACTAGGCAGCTCAGACTCTCCTGTTTTCAGTCTCCCCACGCTGGGATTACAGGTGTGTGCCACCACGTCCAGTCTCAGTGGCTGGCTCAGCGCGCTTGGGTGGTGCTGGGGATCGAACCCTAGTCCCCGTGCTTGCCTGAGCAGGCACTTAGTTAGCTGCACTATCTCACCGGCCCTCTAAACACAATTTTCTATATGTGGTTTTCATCTGAATCATTTAAGAGCAAGTTGGAGACAGTGTCTACCTTCCAAATACCCGTCAATATTTTCTAAGAACAATTACTTTTCTTCCATAGCCACTGTATACTGAATTAGGGATAAAACAATGAGGGCTGGCCAAATAGCTCAGTGGATTAAAACGCCTGTAAGCAGGCACAGGGGCCGGGGGTTTGATCCCCAGGCCTGCTGTGCGGGCCCCGCCCCCAGGCACACTGAGATGGCAATTGAGACTGGGAGTGGTGGTGCACTCCATAATCCCAGCACTTGGGAGGCTGTAAAGAGGAGAATCACTACGAGTCCGAGCTAATAGACCCTGAGCACCCTGTAGACCCTTCCCTAAAATACAGAAAAAAAGGAATATAACAATGATTCAGTATTACTATATAATGTATAATCCATACTTAAAGTCATTAAGCTCCAGTCATGTCTTTGTAGCTATTTTCAAGCTTAGCTAGAATATAGAGCAGACGAAGATCACACAGATGTTTTTAACTGTAATGTCTGTTGGATATCCTTAAATCTGGAACAGGTCTGCTCAGTTGTTCTGATTTATTTACCTTTAATCCTTTGTTTTTTTTCCCTCTCTGTGGTGCTAGAGATTGCATCCAGGGACTTGTGTGTACTGGGCAGAGGGTCTACTATGGAGGCAGAGGGTCTACAGCACTGGCCTCACCCTTGGTTTTTGAAGAGTATGTGATAAATATTTTGTAGAATGTCTCAGCCCTCAGTCTGAGTGTGTCTCTTGCCTCATCATTATATCCACAGTATGGTTTTTATTTGAGTGTTGAAAATGTGTCCCAGGGAGCTCAGCAAAAGAACTTAGTTGGTAAAGTGAGCACCATGGCTGGGTTGGGGGGCTGGGGAAAGATTAGACTATGTGAATAACTGTTTATAGGTCTGAGCATTATGGGGCATTCAAAGAAAAGATGGAAATTGCTTGTCAATTAGGAAAGTGCTTCCAAGTTAAGGTGCATTAGTAATGTCTTTCCTGTGAACCATTTTAGAATAGAACATTTGGATTCAGATAATCTGGCCAGATTTCCTGAAGTGCTATTTGGGTACCTGTCTCCAGCCATGGTTGTCATCAGCACGCCGAATTCTGAATTCAACCCCCTGTTTCCCATAGTGACCCTAAGAGATGTAGACCATAAATTTGAGTGGAACAGAATGGAATTTCAGACCTGGTGAGTTCAGAAGGTTCTTTTTTGTTTGGCTCTTAGAAATCCTACTAGAGTTTAAAATCCTAGGAAGTAAACCTTTATATGTCTATCTTACATCAAGTCTTTATTCTAATAAAATCCAAGCATGTAACGTACTGTGCAGTAGGGTCATAAGGGAGGTACTCCACCTGGCCAGCCATGGAGTGGGTGTGTGAGCTCCAGGTCCTGTGCAAGTGGAGGCACCTGTGGGGCTGGCATGAGCAGGCAGGCCTGGGCTGGGATGCGAGCTGCATGTTGTGTCCAGGAAGCTCCTTGGGCTCTCTCGAAGTTTGGGTGTAATTGTAAGCCCAAAGGGCTCATCGAGGCTGTAGCTTGTGTGGTTTCCTTGTATAGCCCTTCATGCTGTGTGCCCATGACTTACTCTCTTCCATATTCTTGGGGTAACTCACCAGCTGCCATTGTGTGCCTGCCCTATTCCTCATTAGATACTAAGTAAACCCCATGTCAGGCTCTTTTTCTTTACCATGGCAACACACAGTACGTGTTCTGCATTATGTCCTGGCCTTGGGAATGAGATGGGAAAGGAAATGCAAGGGGCTGGAATTTACTTAATAGTAATTATTTACTTAGCAAATTATTTAAAAGAAGCTGTATGTTTAGAAAAACAATTTCATTTTTGTTCCAGGGCTTTAGGAGTGGCAAATCGCTACAATTACTCTGTGGAGTTTACAGGAGTGGGCAAGCCACCCGCCGGTGCTGAGCACGTTGGATTCTGCACCCAGATAGGCGTGTTCCGGAAAAACAGCGAAGAGGCAGGGCTGCCCTGCATTCCGGAGCAGCACCACCGGCACATTTATAAAGCTGTGGGTATTGTTGGTGAGGTAGCGCCCAGGGCACGAATTATGTTGCTTAGGATGGCGAGCATTGTTTATTTTCTTGTAAGAGTACCCAAAGTAGAGAGCGGTGTGAATTTCCTGATTTGGAGTCTCAGCCTAATAGGCCCGATGGGCCCTACAACTCCTGGTGGAGTAAGTAGGTCTACTGCAGCCTTGGAGACTGCTGGGCCTGGGCATTTCCCAAGGCACATTAACGAGAACAGTCTTGGAGTACTTCCAAGTGATGCTTCAGCAACAGCATATGTAATCTCTTTAGATGGTTGGTGTTAAAGAGAAAAGGAGCCAGGTTGGACACGGTGGTGCAGGCCTGTCCTTTCAGCTCCGCAGGATGCTAAGGCAGGAGGGTGACATGTTCAGGGCCACCCTGGCCATTTAGTGAGACTCAGTCTCAAAAAGGGTGGAGCATGTGGCTCATTGATACAGCACTTGCTGAGTATGCCTGATGCTTTGCCCACACCTATGAGCACAAACACTCAAAAGGAAGCATCCAGAAGAAACATACTTTGCCTTTCAGCGAAACCATTTTCTCTTCCTTCCTCCCTTTTCCCTGCCTTTTCTTCAGAGTGTCACTTTGTCACCCAGCATGGACTGAAATGGGTCAAGATCCTCTTGACTCAGCCTTCCCAGCAGCTTGGGACCATGGGCACATGCCAGCACACCCAAATTGAACTAGTTTTCCTTTTTACCCTTGCCCTTATAAGCCCCCAATTTATTAACAAGTTCTGTTCTGTGAGAATGTTCATAAGTCAGATTCGTCCTTAGGGCCACAAAGTGATTCCTGTATACTCTCGACACAAATACACAATGCAAAGCATAAAACCAAGCCCCCCCAAAATACTATAAAGAAATTTTTACCTTTAATATTACCTTAAAATGGTAAGGTAGACAGGGAGCTACTTCTGTGATTTGTTCGCATCTAGGAGTGTCGTTGGAGGTCTATTCATGTCTGTGAAAGTTCACACATTGAATGTTCTAAGTAGGGGACTCAAGGTAGTAAGAAGTAGCCGTGTTGGGTGAGCATGCACTGGGCTAAACCTGGCTGGGAGACTTTGACTATTAGAATTGGAAAGCAAGCCAGTAATTACTGTCAGTGTGTGAGTAGTTTAGAACTGGGGCATTCACAGTGAGGATCTGACCCTGTCCGTATGTAACTGGACACAATCCAGTAAGAGCTGTAGTTAGTTCTCATGTGACAGAGTAGTGACGGCTCTGCAATGTTTTCCTCTATTCTGTGCTTTGCTTCCTGCCCCTCAGGTTTATACGATCACCTACCCAAGTTTACAGCAGGAAAGGGTGCTCAAGTTCGAACTGGTCGGGGAAGTATTGTTACAAGTGGAGCGCTTGAGGCTGGGGCACCTGCGAAAGCTGCGAGAGCAGAAGAGGGAGTCGGGCACTGGGCCAAAGGAC